AACAATGACAATCACACACTTTTTGACTCTGCATTGTTTGTTGAAAGACCAAAGCAGAAGAGTGGGACACTCTGCCCTTCTGTCAAGCCTTGCGTCATAGCTGTAAAACCAAGTACCTCAAAGAAGTAATGCCGTATTCACTAGTGAACTTGGCAAAGTGTTCACTTTTTCTTTACAAAATCTTGAAGATGGACGTTTAGAACCAGAGGAACTGGCCATACGGGGGTCTGGTCATGGTCTCCATGTTAATATGTGCAAAGACTTTCTGAACAAAGAAAAAATCCTTTCAACTGAGTGGATTTTGGAAGTAGATAAATAATCTTGTCTCAAGTTCTGTCATGTTGGCATTTTTAAAAATATACTAAGCAATTTTTCTTGCTTTTAGCACCCCCTAGTGTCTGTGCATAATTATTTGTGATGAAAGCACAAGTGAAACTGTATCTCCTCGCTGTGCGTTTGTCTATTTAACATCTTAGTCTAACAGCTGAAACGTCTCCTCAGCCCTCCTTGGTGTCTAGAGGAGTGGTTCTTCACCAAATCAAACAAATCAGCTGTGTTCATGGTCTAAAGCATCCAGGAAACATGCTGGAAGCAGACTGCAGCGCCTCCACAGGTGGCGGCGCGGCACTCTGAAGTTGCAAACGTGGTATTCTGGCCACAGAGAGCGTTGGGGTTCTGGATGACATCTAATTAACATTGTAAAGGGCAATTTTAGCCTATACTGGCTCAAGAGAATACTGAAAAATATGAAAAAGTTGCTTATTATCCTTTTTATTTCTTCAGCAGCTCAAACACAACTCTGTAGCTGGACGAATGTACACAGATAAATGTGATATTCATCAAATGAGCGCAGCTGCAGCTGCGTTATTTAGATCTGGTGTCATGGTTTCATGGAAATTAGATCTTACAGTGAGGTTTATTTCTCTTTGCTGGTTTTATCTTAAGTGGTGGGTGCAACAGAAAATGGGATAAACTACATAATTGTATTTGGACTCAGTCGTAAGTCAGCAGTATTTTCCTCTTTTGATCCAATATTTGCTCTTCCTTCTCTTTTGTGATTTCAATATCATTTTTCTTTTTGTGTGAACGTTTCATCTCGACTTATCTCCACCACCACCTCTTCACTGCACGCTGCTTTTGAATATGCTTACAATTCATCATACCGTATTATTGGCATGGCAGAAGATGACTCATCTTTGAACTTCCTTTGATCTCATTCACACTTTGGAATAGAATGGCTTAGCCTTTGGTCTTTTCACTCCCTTGATTCTGATTAATGTAAAATCCCATTCCAGGTTTTACATTTTGTGTAATTTATATAGAAATTTCAATCGCTCACATTCATCTAGCCACGGTGTAACACAGCAGATCCAAAGACTAGCATCACATTTACCCTCTCTCTTTTTCTGTCTTGTCTATGTTGTCTCGCTTCATCTTTCCTTTTCACACTGTGTCAGTTCCCTGGTGGCGCCCACAGATCTGCCAGCCCCCGCTGATTTCCCTTGGTGTTGGAGAGAGATATAGGAGTTAGCTGAAGGCAACAGCGCTGTGTCCCAACAGCCTGTGTGATGAAATCAATCCACAGCATGTGTGCGTGTGCCTGCTTTCGTTTTCGGTGTCGTTCTCGACCTTTTTCTACGTGTGAATCGTTGTTTTACCTCGCAGTGCTTTCTCTTCCTTTACTTGAACAGCTCATTGTCCAGTGATCTGACAGACACACGCCACGCAGCGTTCGCAGACCTGCGCTCCACCAGCAGCGTCTTTATTTAGCCACTTTTCTGTTTCCGTCCATCCAGTCTGAGCTGGTGTCATGTGGTAGCGCCGCAGATGGGTCTGAGCGATAGCGAGGTAATGGCTGTCCAGTGCACGTGCATCCATCCAATAAAGTTAAGATTGATTGGACCTTGGCTCCTTCCACAGGGTGAAGCTGATAAGAGAGGGTAATGCGTCATCGCTGAGGCCTCCTACGTGATATTATAGCGTGATTAAACTCGAGAGACATACATTTTAACGTTATGCCCCGTCCTGTTACACCAATCTAGAATACTGGATGTTTATCAGGAGCTCATTGTTGCTGATGGCTGTGGTGTCTCATGGCCTGATGGATGTGTACGGGTAACACGATGCTTATTAGTAAATGGGATATATGGTATCGGTTGGTAGTAAATGCTAAGAAAGCGAGCTTTCCTCTGATATCAAGTATTATGGTGGAAATATTGTGTTGCACTGGAGAGACCTCGGCTTTCCCTGCAGAAAGAGAGTGTGATTCACTGAGATCGGCTCAAGATAACCAATTTAGTCATCGCTTTTAACTCTTAATTTGCTGCTGGTTGGCGCGTCTGTATGTAAAACGGTGCATGCAAACACTCAAAGCAGCATGTGAGTGTGTGAGTGCTCACTCAGCGGTCTCTCAACATTGTGGCTCTCAAGGTGTGAAGTGGAACTGAGTATAGGTAATGAAGGAGACAGCGCTGTGTAATTATTCTGCAGGGGAAGGATGACCAGTTGACTTTACCATTTATGATTCACCTTGAAGTATAAATGCCAAGGGGACAAACTCACCCCCCTCTGCCCCCATTACCTTCACCTGGTCCAAGACATTTGTTACGAAGCTGCACTTTTTTAAATGAAGGCGTTGTGGATCATCCATCAGCACTTTGGTGTCCGGTTTGAATAGTTAATGCACTGTGGCAAGCTACCAGCAGATATTAAGATGAGGCATGAAAAGAGCGGTTTGTGAGCCCTGCTCCACTTCTGTTGCTACCAAGGAGGCTTTAATGAAAATATGGGTCAAAAAGGAGTTTGAAAGGACTCGGTGCTAGAACACCAAAAATAGTCAGTTTTCTACTTAATAAAATAATTATATTTCATATTTAAGCAGAGCCACAATTTTTATGCAGTTAGAGGCTTTTTATTTTCTATATTTTGCACAATTTAAAAATAAAAAATCAAACCAACACTGTCTGGGGCTGTGATGTAGTCAGGACATGCAGCCGTGGAGCTAGACAGCTAGCGAACGACTAAAACGAAGACGGTTCTTCAGCCAGGCTTTCTTTTTTCAGCTGAAGATTTTTATATTGTTTTATAATTGTAACTGTAACAAAAGAAACATGACATTACTGACTAATACACACATCCCAGCATCATGTTGCATGGTTAGCTTAGCTTAGCAGCATGTGTACATTGTATACATGTTATCAAACATAGGCTGAATGTAAACATTTCCTAAACATGTCTGTACTTTTATAAGTTTTGTTTATGAACCACCTCCTCTCCTTAACCGTTTTTGATTAAACACCTGAAGCGCCGGCGGAGGAAACCGCATCAATGATCAGTTTGGGGCAAGAGCGCTCACTCCCTTGTGCTTCTGCATAAATGATAAGAGTCTTTATGGATCGGTGATGTCTCACTTGGAGCTATTTTCAGAATCAAAACCAGTTTAATCTTTTTAATGTGTTTTTTGAACCAATTGATTTAACTCATGAATGTTAATATATTTTCACCAGAAGGTGTCACAGAGCCCCCTCCTCAGCGACCTGTACCAACTCCTGTAATGGAACTCGTTCCCAGGTCAGCCTAGAGCTTTCTCCCCTCTAGCAAGCTGCGGGGGCTTCTGGAGGAAGCACCTCTCCTCCCTAAGTTGGTCATCAAATATATAGGTCAGAAATAAACATGTGATTTACACAATAATGATGAGTCATGCTCACGGACTCGTGTAAAAATGCTATAGCATCTTTTCCCAAACGGCGCTCTTGTTGCTGAATGGGGGCGTTGATGGACACGTCTGCCCGCTCTGGTGAAATGAGCAACACAATGTGAACGAGGAAAGCAGCCCAGTGAGTTCATGCTGTGGACGTCTCCGGATTGAATGTGTGTCAAACTGAATTGGTGCCAGAGTATCTCATCACCGCCAGGAGACAGAGACTGAGGACTGAGGGTGTGTCAAGAATTGCCTCTCTTTTCAGTCCACACCAAGTGGGCGGGCCTTCCATTTTTCTTCCTGTTACTAAATGAAATACACCTCTCTGTTAGAGCCCACGCGAGGGGAAGACACATTAAAAGGAGAGGTTTTAGGAGGCTGTCTGGAAAACAAAAAAGAATAAGATGGTTTTCATACATCTGCAAAACATAAAAGCTGTTGGAATGAAATGTATTATATGCAGAAGTTATTCCATTAAGTGTAGATGTTGCTTGAAAATAAGGCTTTGAGTTACATTCACAAACACTAAGACACTGCTTCTAGTCTACTCGTTACAAAATTCGTATTTGCATTCATTTATTTCACATTGTTGTTTGTGTCGTAACAAACTGCTGAGTCAGCATAACGCACGCCGTTTATAAACCGCAGCCACATGGCAGAAGCTGCCGTATCGCTCGTCTCACCCGTGCTTTGAGGTTCATCGGAGTTCTTCCTGTATTCCTTCCTGGGCTGCAGGGTGAGATCCATCATTGTGTTCTTTGCTCTGGTTCTAGAGAATGAAGTCTGGTTCTGGTCGAATTCCCAGCAGATCTAACTGCTCTTTGCTCCACCTTCTCGTCAGCGTCAGAGCAGTTCCTGTACCAGACTGTTATGGAAGATGTCCAGACAGTCTCCACCACACACTGGTATAACAACAACACTGAGATTGGCATTTCTCAGCCTCCTCATAAGATTCTGCTGTTGCTAGTGATCTGGACCCGGGTGCAGTCGGCATCTGGCTGTTTCCAGCAGCTCCACATCTTCTTCTCCAAGGAACAGGAGCGTAGGGTACGAAGCTTCGCTCCAGATGTCCATCATCGGCTTTATCATAGACGTCACATAGATACTGAGGGTGACTCACCTCACTAAACTCCCTCATCTTCCTCCTCGCAAGAGCCAAGTCTGCAAAATACAATTTCCAGGATGTTTTGCAGAACCATCATATGTGAGGCGTGTGTGCAGGACAGAAGAACGATGCTTTGCTACTTTATTTCTCTGAAATGATGTTCAGATTCAAGCTTCTTCTTCACTCTCTCTCCAGGAACCACAGTGATGACGATGACGGCGTACGATGCCGACGACCCTGGCACCGACAACGCAGCTCTGCGCTACAACATCATCAGACAGTCTCCAGACAAACCATCACCCAACATGTTCTACATCGATGCAGAAAGAGGAGACATTGTCACCGTCATCTCTGCTGCCTTACTCGACAGAGAGGTGGGTTGTCTCTCCAAACTGGATGGTTGCACACAAGTCTACTCTTTTTGTTTTTGTATCTCTGGACGTTCTGATTAGCCACTGAACAAACGGTTGTTGTGAATGCCGCTCACAAGTAGCTCTGCAGCACTTATGAGTTTCATCAAGCAGCCGCAGAAGTCAGACGAGCATTTTTCCATTTCTCCATCTAACCCAAGCGAGACAACGAGATGATTGCTTTTCCAGCGGGGTGACGAATGTCGGAACATCGATTGGGTTCGCTGGTGGAGGAGGAATATTAGCTGTTGTCAGACACTTAGCGAATAGTTTAATTGAGGTGATACACATTCATGCGCCGACTCTGGTGCTGTCCAACAAGCCTGGCTGAAAACCTGCCATCCGGAACTGCTGGAACCACGGCGGCGTAATGCCCTGATGAACCAATCTGAGAGCTACAGTAAAGCGTTTAATAGAAGTGTAATTGATTAACAGTACAATGAAATGAGATGTTGTCATAACAGGGAGCCCAGTTAGTCGCTCTTGTGTGCTGATGTGAGATCAAGTCATTTAAAAGATGTCGGGTTGGGGTTCGAGTGCCAAAGTGACCAATCAGCTGCTGACGTTTAGTGTGAGATTTGTTCAACTACATTAAGAGTTGGTAGGAGTCAAGTTAGAGACCTCTTCTTGACTTTGAATGGATCAAACACCTTCCAGCATACCTGGGTCCTGAAGGAGACTAGGTGGTTTGTTCTCTCTGCTGCCAGGACACCATGAATAATATGTTCACCAAACACGAGCCCTCTGTTGGGTCAAAATATTGTTTGCAACCTGAAAGCCGAAAGCATTGCTTGTAATTTCATTCCTATTTGGGATCTATTTCCTCATCCCCATGTTCACAGCATGTGTGAGCGTGCTACTAGTTCACAAACACCCCTAGGGCTTTAGCAGAAGGCAGCCAGAGTGGATCAGTTATGTAATTTTCAAAAAAGCTAATAAAACCAGAAGGAAGCATAAAAGCAGTCATTTTAGATGTTCTTTCAGGTTCTTGGGAGATTTAAACCCGGCCACTTTGGTAGCATCTTATAAATTAGATATAGAGATGACACCCATCATCCCATCCCCATCTGTAGTACGAGTTTCTGCAGTCCGGCTTATTTCTGCAGCGTTCCACGTTGGTAACAACTAGAAAGAAAACACACCAGGGGAGAAAGTAAAAGGAAATAACAAATTAGACACAAATTTTCTCTGTTCTTCAAACTCCTCCAACATAATTCAGGTGGAGTGCTCTAAGTGTGTTTGGACAGACACCTCAGCTACTGCAGGAAGCAGAAAGCAATCTGAAGAAGATTGGAAAATCAATTTTGTCACACTGAAATCAGTTTGATGTTCCCTTTAGTGCTTTCTCTGCGGCGTAAAATCCTGTCTTGATATGCACGTGTACTCCACCTCACTTTGCTTTAGAAGCGCCTCCCGTCACCGTCTGATTTTATTCTGACACGCCGAGACGTCGGATCAATGGCAGGTTGTCATTTTGGACAGCTGACGTTTCTCTCACAATGAGGACGCTTTTGTTTCTTCATGAGTTTAAAAAGATCAGGAAAGCTTCACATCATTCCTGGGATTACTGGAAACCAGCCTTCGTCTTCATTTGCTAAAACGTCCATCTAAATCTAAATTAGATCACAAACACATCATTTATTATTTATGTTAAATCCATCAAAAGAGTCATCAGATTTGATTTTAATGTCCCATAATGGCACATTTTTGGAGAAAGATTTGTGTAAAAAAGTATTTTAAAAGAACAGAAAGAAGCAAACATCCGTCACCAGGTGTTAGATGAGTCTGGTAATGAACATTTCTCCCTGCTGATTGTGCTCCCTGAGAAGGAAAAGAGAAATCACCTCCCAGGAAGCTGATTTATTAGTCCAGCAAAAGTTACCTCAGTGAGCTGTGCCTCCTTGCATCGCCTCCAAATGGCTCGTCCTGACGGCAGCATGTCCTCTCCAAGATGCTGTGAACCGCAGGGACAGAAATGTCGATCAGAACAGAAAGTTAGGAGCGCTGACGGCTCTGCAGGAGGTCTCTGAAACTTCCTTTAGTCTTTGGAAAGTTCTCTTGAGTTAGATCCCTCCTGATCTTTGTGATTCATGATAAAAGCAGGCGTTCAGCCTTCACACGGTCTTTAAATCATCATGTAATATATATGCAAAACATATTCCGCCGTCTCTTTGTTCTTTTATTATGCTAATTTCTGTTTCAGAACTTTAAATATTGATAGTGGCAGTGAAATATGTAGGAGGTTCCTCAATGTCACCTAACGAGGAGATGTGTTGGCAGTAAATGTGAATCGGCAAGAAGTAAATGTTATGGGCTCACCCTTACTGCAGAATGGGTTTGAAGTTTAAGTACAATAATAGAAGCATCACGGTTCCTAGACAAACACATCCTTCAGTGCCAGACACACACTAGTGTTGCTAATTTATTGGTATGCAGGCCGGCTGTAAGCAGAGAGGACAGGCTGCTAATGGCACTGCTTCTCTCTGACTCCCTAATGTTCTCCGGACAATCTGGAAGCTGTCAGTGCTCTGGATGGCCAATCGATGGGGTCCACCGACCCCTCCGTCCTCCTTCGTGTTCGACAAAGGTGAACTACATAGGGATGAAAGGGATTCTGTGTGTGTGTGTGTGTAAGTGTGTCTGGAGTTATTGCTAGTGTTGGGAGAACCGACCTGTTCCAGGGGATTTCTGGGAGAAGGGAAAGTGACAGGAAAAATGTTGCGTCGCCATACAAAAACCAGCCTTTCTTATCCAGGATGAGAGCATGTTGCAACCATTTTGGCAGCGAGTGACTTCCCTGAGAGCGGCTGTGTGACGCAAGAGTCTGCGACCAGAGGAAGCAGTTTCACGGCGCTCTGTAAGAGACCACAAAGCAGCCTAAACGGTAGCCTACAATTTCTGCCTCAATTTTGGATGTTAGGAGTTTAGAAACAGTGATTTTGTTTGTTTGTTTATGTTTATTTATGTTTATTCATTTAGCAGACGCTTTTATCCAAAGAGACTTACAATTTTTCACTTGTAGGGCATGTTGTGATGTGTGGGGGAAACCGGAGTACCCGGAGGAAACCCACGCATGCATGGGGAGAACACGCAACTCCATGCAGAAAGGCCGCAGCCGAGTTTCGAACCTGCAACCTTCGTGCTGCGAGGCAAGAAGGTTGCAGACGAGCATTTTTCCATTCCTCCATCTAACCCAGGCGAGACAACGAGATGATTGCTTTTCCAGCGGGGGTGACGAATGTCGTAACATTGACTGGGTTCGCTGGTTGCGCGTCCTGCCACAACAGTGCTAACCACTGCGCCACCATGCAGCCCATTTTAAAGAAGCATCAAAGCTGCCTATTCTCGTTTCCTTCCACCAGCAACTCCTCCAGTCTGACAAATGCCGGTTGTTTGGCGACATCCACCGATGTCCTACTGAGTTGCAACCAGTCAGCATCAGTTAAGCACAAGTCTTGGGTTAGTGACCAAATACTTATTTTCCACCCTGATTTACAAATAAATCCTTTAAAAATCCTGCCATGTGAATTTTTCACATTCTGTCTCTCACAGTTGAAGTGTACCTATGATGTAAATTACTGACCTCTGTCATCACTTTAAGTGGGAGAACTTGCACAATCGGTGGCTGACTAAATACTTTTTTGCCCCACTGTAAGTGTCTTGCCCAAGGACACAATAGTAGAATTCTCTGGTCAGAGCCGGGATCGAACCTGCGACCTTCCGATTACTGGACAACCCGCTCAACCTGCTGAGCTACTGCTGTCCCATAATCATGATCATCATTAGGTTGTGATTTTGCAAAAACAAAATTGTGATGATTTTTTTCCATAGCGCCCACCACTAACAGGAGTCCTGGTCAGACTGGTGAAATGGAGACATGCGCAAGCCACAAAGTCCGGGAACGTGTCCCGGGACAAATGGGCCTATACGTCTGTCAATCTGTGATTGGCTGGGAGGTTAAAAGCAGGACTGCAACTGTGTGTGTTTGAAACGGAATCTCACGTTTGCATTTAGGAGTATGTATGTTTTATATACTATATATGTTTTATATACTATATATGTTTTATATACTATATATGTTTTATATACTATATATGTTTTATATACTATATATGTTTTATATACTATATATGTTTTATATACTATATATGTTTTATATACTACATATGTTTTATATACTATATATGTTTTATATACTATATATGTTTTATATACTATATATGTTTTACTCCCAGGAATGGCATTCCAACCGGGGTGTTAATGTAGGTGTTTGTTCCATCGAGTATCCCAGTCCACCATGATGGGGAATCAGAAAAGAAGAAAAGCAGGACGTGCACTAAGCTGAAGGCTGCCGTCATTAGGACAAACGTGTGCTTCACCTACTGAGACAAATCCAAATGCCTTTTGTCTTTTATCAAAGATGGATCATGAATGTTAAAGTCTTCACCCTCCCTTACGTAACAGCTGTCACCTTAAGGTGATGTTAGGAGAGAAAATGCTGCTAATTTGCACGGGAAGACAAACGACTCATTAATACGATTATTAGTCTTGTTTGTTGAGCATCTCCTGAATCCAGACATCTGCTGATGAAGTGAGTCGGTGTGATGATAAACTATCTGTCAGCTGGTGATCTGTAGCGGAGTGTTGCTGGTATCAGAATTGGTCTTCCACTCGTTTGCACTGTAAACATGTTTGTTTACATTATCTCCCGTTCCACGCGGCTTATAGAAATCCAGAGTGGCAGGTGAACTGTACACAATCATCCCATCTCAGCAGCAAAGCATGCAGCGTTAGCTACAAGTAAAGGGACCCAGTGTTTGTCCGGCGTGACCTCGGTGGAACAACGCTGATCCTGTCTAATGGCTTATTTGGCTCGGCTGCCAGCATCACTGCGTCTGAGCTGGATGAAAGATGGACGCCAGCAGGATTATTGGCAGGTTCTGCTCTTAAGAACACTTTTTTTA